CCAGGAACTATCTTGGTGTCCGTGGCACACGACCAGGCTTATTCAGACTCATTGACATATCTCTCGCGGGGAGGGTATGAATTATATGAGTCTGTTCTGTGCGTGCATGAGCGTTACGCTCGCCACGGCTCCACCAGGATGGTTCCTGGTCGCGCGCGCGCGAATAGAATAAGTCATTCATTTCATCAATTCAATGCGATTTATTTGAAACGAAAGGAACGCAAAAAAAATCTATCACAACGAGTCTATTCGATTGAAAATCGTTGAACACGATTATTCTGATGATCGACGACATAGAGATTGCCATGTAGATCGAAGGACAAACCAAAGGGATATTTGAACTGATTTGCTCCTTCTCCTTTACCATTTCCACCCACAATGACAGTGCCCTGTTTCGCTCCTTTAGGCCAACGCATCACTCGATGATTCCCATAGTCTGCCACATAGATGGTACCCAATGTATCGACGAACAGTCCTTCAGGATAATACAACTGTGTCAGAGCATTCCCTTTGCCTTGACCTCCAGCGACGACAATTCCTTCTTTTGCACCTTTATTCCATTTCATTACACGATGATTGTTGTTGTCTGACACGTAGACAGTCTGTTGTTGATCGACAAAGAGGTAGGTCGGAAAGTTGAGTTGATTGAGACCAGCACCTTCGCCATTGCCACCAGCCACAATAGTTCCATTCTTGTCTCCTATTTGGTATCGTTTTACTTCATGTTTGACGTAGTCAGAGATGTAGAGATATCCCTGATCATCCATGGCCAATCCTCGACAACCGATGTTGTCGATGAGGATTTCTCCTTGAGTTGTACCACTACGGCGAGACCATCGTACAACTCGTCCATTCCACCATTCACAAATAATGAGACTATCCGTCTCTTTGTCAATCAATAAATCGGTTGGACCATTCAATTGATCCAATCGATTCCCTTGGCCATTGCCACCAGCTACTACTTGTCCATTCTTATCACCCATCTTCCATTGGATGATACGATGATTCCAGAAGTCAGCGATGACTATCGTTTGATCATCATCAACGAAGAGACCACAAGGTCCCACGAGTTGATTGGTGGTATTGCCTACTCCATGACCTCCAGCAACAGTCACTCCATTCTGTACCCATCGGGCATTGGCTGGAATATTTGGAATTACTACAATGAACAAAAAAGGAAAGGAATCATGGTTGTCGAAGGGAGCTCGTCTCTCGTGGGGGTAAGCGCTACAAATATGACATTCATCTTTGAAAATGCTCATTCCACAGATAAAAATTCAGAAGTCTTTTCCTAGTTTCTTATGAGAGAAAAAGGATTTGGTAACGATTCTTACATCTATGTCACTTTTAGTTCTTGCCAAAATCTTTTCGATCCTAAAAACAACACCTGGAGATTGCTGTAAAGAGCTCCTCAAAGAAAGAGTGATGCTAATTCCATCTATGCTTTTGATAGAAAAACATAGCAGAATCTTTTTGTAGGATGATCATTTATATGAATATCAGAGAAGAATTTAAGTAATAAAATAATGAACTATGTGAAACTGCTAAACTGAGGAAATTCTGAGAAGATTCTATCTATATCTTGTTAGGAGCATGTTGAACAACAAATGTCAAACGTAATTTTATATGGTTTTGTAGAACCTTAAGGATTCAGTATGTATCTTTGAGTTTATTCTTCACATCATTTTCTGAATGATGAATGCAGATCTGCCGAAGT